GCCCGCCAGCTCCTTCAGTATCCTCGAGTGAATCCCATCCGGCCCCATAGACTTGTTCGTGTCTAGGTGGAGCAGCAGGTCACAAACTACTTCCTCCTGGATAACGAGGGGATTTTTTTTGTTCCCCACCCCTAGCATCCAGCTTGGAGGATTGGCTACCTCGAGGATGACTGGTCTGGCTATTGAAGACTGAGGCATGGTGTTGACTGAAGATGGTGTTGTATAACTTGTTCCTGTTTTCCAGTATTTTCTGGGAAATTGGTTGTCTAGTTTTTCCATTCTATTCTTACCCCTTGCTATCCCCCAGCATCTGGATCCAAGTTACTTTCCTGCCTCCGCTTTGGCGGAGAAAAAAACGTCCGTGGGGGTGGCGTGTTCTGACCTCGGCTCCTGTCAGGAGCACATTTGTGGCATTGCCTGCGTAAGCATGTCATCATGAGATGGAAAGTGCTTGCAGCGCTGGCTCTGAAACAGTTTGGTCAGGGGTGCCGAAACATGGATGTCCTGTGACAAGTATCGCCTCCTGAAAGCCGTGAAGCCCGTGTGACAGTTCTTCAGGGTGCTGTGCAGCCAGCCCTGACCTGGCCTGGAAGTATGGGTTTCTGGTATTCGTCTCTGCCTGTGGCCTCCGTGCCGGTTCATCTGAAACGAGGAACTTCTTCAGCCTGCAGCTGGGAAGAAGCAGCCAGTCTTCCTTCTCTGCTAAACAGATTCTTGTCTGTTTTCATTACTTGATAAAGCTCTGTAAGCACGTAAAATTGTCTTGTTCTGCTGTGGGAGAAGGGTGAGAAGCTCTCCCCGAGTGCTCACTGGGAAAAAGCAGGGTTATTTTGTTAAATCTGTAAAGCTAGCAAAGGAGATTTCAGCATGGAGGTGAATACTCCATTACATCCCTCTCCCCTTCTGCCTCTTCCTGCAAAATAGCATGCATTAAAATAACTTGATACTTATTTTAAATGTTGGGGTGTGAAATGTTCAGTTTGTTTGCTGCTGCTACTGAAAAACTGGCCCAGTATGCACTATCCCTGTGAAGAGGTTAACACTAAACAGTTTCATTTGGCCTCTTAATCCCAATCAATAAGAATATCAAGAGGGGACCGCAATAAAGGTGACTGGATTGAAAGTGGCTTTAATATCTGCCTTTGAATCAATCATTAGCAACAGACTACAGTCCCGCTAGCTGACACAGTTTTCATTTGGGGTGAATGATTCAACTTTAATGATGCAAAATTGTTCAGCTTTTTAATAGATGATCTCAACTGCTTCCTCTGCACGCATAATTACGGCATTACAGAGCAGTAAAGGACAGCAAAATAGTCTTGTTTTTTGAACTTGGTGGCAGCTTTCTGTGGAGTGTGGTTTGTTTTTCATTTCCAAAAACTTGGACACATTGAGCAGACCTTTAGGAAGGGGAAGTACATCCAGAACAGTTCCCTGCTCCATGTGAGTTGCTCAGCCAAGTGGGTGTCCAGCTCAGGGAAGGGCTGGTAAGGGAGGAAAAGCAAAAATCCTTGGTCTCAGCCTTCAGAAACGTCGGCCATCCCTCATGCAATGCTTGCTGTAACAGTATGCGGTTCCTTCTCTGGGTCTGAGCATTCTGAAAGATTCAAAAGGTATTGCCTGTTCAGTACAGTGGTGTCCAGCAGCTGCTTCTGGCTGTGTCCATCCCTCCCGGCCCAGTGCTCCTGCGGCCTCTGGTACACCTGGCTTGCCGCTCGGGGATACCGCTGGCCACCATGGCAGCAGCTGCGACAGGGACGTCAGCACTGGCCCCAAGTCCTCCTATGCCTCAGTAAAGCTGTTTGGGAGGAAGATCCTGTATTATTTCTGTCGCTCATCTCTTCTGATTTGCTTTTTGAAAAAGCGTATCTTGTTGAATGTTGTACTAAAAGTGTATGTGAAAGTCTTCATTAAGAGCTCTTGTATTTCCCAGTTGGTATATAGCAATATACAAACAGGATGTCCCCATAAATAAGGACATTGATATAATTTACTTATAGTTTAAAATAACTGGATGAATAACTTAGTTTCTTTTCAATGAGATTTGCCCATTTTTCTTCTATGTTTTGGAAGCTGCATTTTAAAATTAATTTGGGAGAGCAGGCAAAAGGATTATTTATGACTTCTATGCTCCTTGTCTTGTCCTTTACCTGTTTGTGAAGAATTTGTTAAGGACCATTATATTTAAACATTTACTTTTGTTTTCACAGGCAAGCCTGGGCTTTTGTTGGTGTCATAGGTGGTGGAAATTCTTCCTGTAATGAATCAGTGAGAAACTATGAAAATCACAGCACTGGTGGGAAAGCTCTTGCTCAGAAAGAGTTTTTCACAGTGGATGGTCAGAAGTTTATTGTGAGAGCTTACAGCGAATGGAATGATGGTAGGAAAGTGTTTTGTGAAACTGTGCAGTTGGAGGAGAACTAAAAAAATAGTGTGTGCTTTTTTTTGCTAGAGCTGTTGGTTGCAATTTAAATTTCTGAGTGCTACTGTAAGGTGTTTGTTTTTTTTTTTCTTGCTATGGATGAAGTATGATGACACAGTTCTTCAGCACAGCCTATTTTCTCAATCCATTTGTATGAAGTATGTGAACAGCCTAATATTAAGAGTCTTCATTTTTAATATATTTAGATAGAGATAAGGGGTCTTATGAGATGCTAAACCAGGATTTTTTTTTCTTTTCTTTTAGTAATTTGTCAGTCATGTATACTTTTAAGTTTCTGAGACGTTGATTATGATCCTAAAAAGAAAAGTTGGTAGAAGCCAAGAGAATTTTTTTATTGTGGTCACAATTTTCTGTTACTGTTTGGTGCTGAACTTTAGACCGCTTTTCTCATAGCACGTTGAATCTGTGGTATAAAGAGCCTGAAAGGCCTACCACTCATTTGCTTTTATCCTTTAGTCATTTGATCTGAGTTTTGCTTTTTATGGGCAGTCATTTTTCTGGTTATAGAATTACTAAGCAATATTGTATTTACCTCACAAGAATTTTTTAAGGTGGTTGGATATTTATTTGTTAAGTAGTTGAGCTATTTCATACTACCCTTTTAATGTTCCTTGTGGCCCTATGAAAATGTATAGACTTATATTTAAAAAAAAAAATCTGCCAAAATACATTTACTTGCTGGTACTGTGGAATCAGAGTCAAGAGTTAGCAAGAGCTGCTGAATTTATGCAAATCCATCACAAGTCAGTGAAGCACCATGTGTATGTAGTTTAGCCTGCCAAACTGCTGTGCATAAAAAGGAAAGTCCGCCTACTTTCTTTTGCGACATCCTTCATTGCATCTGTAGGGTTTTAAATGACAGAAAAATGTCACTCGAAACCAGGAGATGTAGTTGGACCTACAAATTGTTGCTCTATGATATTAGCTTTTTTAAAAAAAAAAAATCATATTTTTCCTGTCACTGTTACTTCTATCTTTTCCCTTTGTTTTATTTGAGATCCACTAAATAAGCAGACTGTAATGGTATCTCACACTGGCACGTTTCAGAGCAGAATTGTACTGTAGAGGGCTTTGGAGCTTGTGAAATCTCATACCTTTTTTTTTTTTTTATTGGTATCTTCTGGGAGGTGGTTTCATATAAAGATGAATACAATCTTATATTGTGTTTACTTTTTTTTTTTAAATTAGGTGTCCCAATTTCAGGCTTCCAGGTGGAAGCTGTAGGCGGAGTGATACTGAATCTTCTGGATGACGTTAGTAGTTGGGAGCCTGGAGACCGGATTGTGGTCGCAAGCACAGACTATTCAATGTATCAGACAGAGGAATTCACCCTCCTTCCCTGCCCGGAGTGTACCAAGCATCAGGTTAAAGTCAAAGGTATGAGAACAGTCACCACTTGAAGATCCATGTGAAGTATGTATTCATGGTAGTATACCCCAGATGGTCCCTTTCATCAGGAGAAGTAAAGAACAGCCTTTTTAACCTCTCTCTGTATTGCTTTGTTGCCATATACAGGAATGTGTACTTTTCCTTGCTATGATATTGCTCTGTGTATTGTCAGGTCTGCCTCATAGGTTACCATACTAACGTTTCTTTCTCATTTCTTCCTGGGTTTATTGAAGGCTTTAGTTTTCTTCCAAGAAGATTATGCTTGTTTTCCTTTCTTGGCTGTTTTCTGTCTTTTCACTAGTTCTCTTTATACGTGCTTGAATGGCTGTTGTGGTCATTACCACTTCCTTTGCCTTTAGTACCCTTCCCAACTTTTGAAGTGTTATGATTGTAACTTTTTCTGTTGTGTTTAAAAAAAGGAGAAAGGGAAAAAAAAAGGAAGAGAAAAGAGAATGGCAATCTTTGAATTTGTCTCTTTTTTTGTTTGGTTTTTTTCTCTCCTTTTCCTCAGTTCCCCTTCCACCAGCAAAATGGTTATGAAATAAGTGGCACTTCCAAGCCTCTGCTCACACAGGATATCCCTGAGTAGTTGCAATCTGTTTTTGCTTTGGGCGTGATGCGTGCAAAATGGTCATGCATGTTGTTGACCGTTTCCTATTTTATTATCTGAGTCATTCTGCTTGACTTCACGAGCCTCCCGTGGGACTGACTCCCCAGCTCTGCCGGCATCTGTCTCTTCCCTCTGCCTTTGCTCACCCTCATCCCTGGCAGTCCACCAGCCTTGGGTCTTGAGCTCTCCCTCTCACTCCCCGCTGGTGGGCTGCAGCATCAGTTTGTAGCACAGACTAACTAGTGTTATTTTGCAGTGTTAGTTTGCAGCAGCTGATCAGTGCTCTTCAGGATCTGGTTTTGTTGCATTCACCTCTGTACGGTGTGACTTCCTCTTCTTCAGAGCTCCCTTCTCTTTTTCTCTGTTCTCGGAAGTTTTCTGTGAACGCCCTCAAACTTTTCTGTTCCTTTGTGTCTTAAGGGACTGCCAGTGTGTATGTCCGCTTTGCGGTGCAGTTTGCATCCCACAGCATTTGTTAGCATGGGTCAGATATGTTTTACCGCATTGTGAAATCCCAGATTTGGAAAAAGCGTATCTAAGTTCACCTTGTTATACTTCAGAGTGTACCAGGGTGTGTGAAGCTGCAGAGCTGACTTAGTGCCATGGAGCATGACACTTCTTCGGCTTTGTTCTTCAGTGTCTCACGTTGTGTGTGTTACTGAGCACAGTATCTTAAAGAGTAAGCTTAACTTGAAGATTGCAGTACGAACTTTAAGGTGGTTTTTGGCACCACTGAATAGTGTATGTGCAAACTCTATTTCGTCTCAGAAATTGTGTACTGTGAAAAAGCAGCTGCTTTTAAAGGATTTAAAAAAAATCTTTTTTTTTTTTCAAGATTTACAATATGGCATAATATACAAAATCTTGGCTTTTTTTTCTGAAAATAAATGCTATCTGAACTATATATAACTCTTTAAAAGATGTAAAAGGAGATGAACTGGCCCATCTTTGGTTTTTTTCACCCCCAATATCAAGTTTCTGTTGTCATAGTAATGGATACTATTTTAAAAAAATCTTCAAACCACCCTATACCACCCTATACCTTTGTTCCACAAAGAATGAATTTTCTGTGGAATGGCAAACTTGACATTCTGAAGAACTCACCATCTTTCAAAATTAATTCTTGTATTTTTTGCTAGGTTTTTAGCAATTTTGGCCCCTTTATAGTAGGAAAACTAAGAAGTATTGTTTTGTAGGAGTCCTAGTTGCTGCTTTCTTTGCTTGATTTATGTATGTTAGTCAAATATAGGGAAAAACAATAGGTAAGCCTTCAAGGAGACAAGTGCAGTCCCATTTACAGATGTCTGTTGTCCTTTTAAATCTTCAACAGCAGGTACAGAATTAATAACACTCTTGGTTCTGCTTCATGTTGTTGTAATGATCAATTTCGGCTTGAATCCTTTTGTAAGTTTTGAAGGGATAGTGAGAGTCTGTATTCAGGGAATCAATAAATGAGGGGAAAAACAGAAGAGGGGAGGGAACTTTTTAAAAAATACATAAATACATCTTTTAAGGTTTATGGGAGCAGAAAATTTTCTCAGTTTGCATAGACAAATAAGAACTTGATTGTTTCTTTGGAAGAACAGTGTAAAACTAGAATATCTTGTTTTCCCTAATTTTAGTTTATGAATCTTCAGAATAGCTATCTAGGAAAGAGCAAATTTAGTCAGGAAAGCAAATCCCTTTTTTCTTTTGGAAGGGGATGAATACAGTATTTTGTAAAGGTGTTTTGACCTCATTTTCAGTTCTTAATTTTTCTTTGCAACAGATTAAGCAGCCAGCGTCTTTTTTCTGTTAAAACAAATCTGCATCTTATGTTTCATTAGAAGTTTTCTAGATACCTTAGATTCATTGAAACTTTTCTTTTTTTTTTTTAATCCATTCTGTTCACAAACTATTGGACTGAAATTAAGATGCCCTTGCAAATAAAATGTCAGGGTTTGTTTAAGATCAGTTGTCTTACTAAAATGAAAAATACGTAGACAACACTTTGTTTTGGAAGGAAACATGGAGTAGTATACTTGATTCGTCATCCTGCAAGATGCTTAACTGTAATTGAGTCAGCTGCAGTCTGCAAGGGGGGAATTTGTTTGGTGTTAGCCGGGTTGATGTTTATTGTCTAACAATTATGTGCTTTTTGTGTGCTTCAGCATAAGAAAAGCTAAGAGAGAACAGCACGTTAAGATATCAGAATGCATGAGTAGTGTTGCTATAATTAGCTTGTTTATATAAAATAAGTTGCTTTTGTTTTCAATGACAATTCTCTTTTTTTTTTTTTTTCCCTTCCTCCCTTCAAAACTGTTTTTGGACAGAAAATCCTCAGTTTCCTCATGTAGGAGAAATTATTGATGGAGTAGACATGAGGGCAGAAGTTGGAGTTCTTACGAGGAACATCTTAATCAAGGGGGAGACAGAAAATACCTGCTATCGTGAAAAGGAGTGTCAGTTCTTCAATTACGATACATTTGGTGGGCATATCAAGGTCTGAAAAACATTTTAAAGAGCTTTCTGTCATGTAAAGACATATTGAGGAGGAAAACATTAATGCTAAACTTGGAGGGATTTGAAAATTTAAGGAACATCAATCCAAACGGTTGCTTTACGTAGAAATGTATTTGTTCTCAACTTTCCCAAAATGATATTCAACTCATCAAGACTTAGGTCTGCAGAATTGGAGGAAGGAGTGTCAATGCCTGAAATGTTGTTGTAGAAGTATTCAGCATATATTGCAACATTGTATGGCAGGAATTATACCTTATAAGTGATGTCCATGCGTGTTCATCCTGTAATATTACAGGATAAATAAAGTTCAAACTCCCTTTCCTTTGTCTCCCTGCTATCACTGCCTTTCTCCCTCCCCAAGTGATGAGCGTTGAATCCTAGATCTGCCTCATACGAAATTGGGCACTGGAGGGGCGTGAAGAGGGAAGAAACTGAGTTGGACCATGGTGGTTTCTTATTTAATTTTTTTAAAAATTGATAGTCCCAATGTTATGTAAGGGAAACTGCTTGGAATTTCTTGTGTTACCATAAACATAAAGAAAGCTGAGGGAAAGTAGTATAGAAACTAGTATTCATACTAGTATTCACTTATGTTTTAAATGAAAGGATTGAGCAGCAGTATATCAGCTCTCCACTGACTCTGCAGAAGTTTGAGACCTTGTGTTTTAAATGCAAATGTATTTGTTCTCATTATGTGCTGGTCACAGTTTAAATCTCTCTTTCTAATATATTTGGATGCAGATTTTAATTTTATAGTGGTGGACATAACGATGGGAAAAAAAATATGCCCTTTCCCTCCTGTGCAGCAGCTTTTGTTTTGTGGAAGAGAAGGAGATGGGCTCAAGGCGCTCTTTTGTGTTTAACATAATGTAATGAAAGAAGATCATGACAAGCTGTGAATCTTGCAAAGCGTGACCTTGATTGCCACAGTAGCGCGCAAATACAGCAGACCCCTCAGATGTCTGGAAGAGAGAATGGAAAACAAACATTTTGAGTCATCAAAGTTGTTAAACTGTTCCCAGGAGATTGTTCAGAGTAGCTGAGTGCTGCGAAACTTGGGCTTCAGCACTAAAAGCATTTCGGTTTACGTTAGTCTTGCATGCTGAAGCAGAGGGAGCCTAGGCACTAGCAAATGTTAATTGCCTCAGGGGTGTTGATTATCCTGGATTTTCTACTGGTCAGTGGGACAGTAGCATAAAGGAGGCTTAGTGGCAGTGAGGAGAGGTACTGGTTTGTAGTTTAAGACTGCATTGGTGCTTTTAAATGTTAAGAGTCAGAGATCTCAGGGATGCCTGGTTTTCACCATCCCTCTGTATTTTAGACATATAAACCTTAGGAGTGCAATTAGGGGGGAGGAGAGAAGTCCATATTACTCATTTCCCTAGAGGACAAAGTACATATAAAAATGGTTATTTTTGATAAATACTCTGTCAGGTAAGTTAATGAAATAACAAGAAAGGTTGGGGGTTTTTTTCTTAGCTTTGCTCCTTGCAGTTTAGCTGTTGCACTTGGTTTCTGGTTTTGTAGCAGGTTAGGTGGAAGAAAATACTTTTCCTTTCCTATGTTACTGGTACAGCCCCATTATGTTTTTACTTTGTACCAGGTGGTGTTACTGTGAAGCTGTATGATTCTGAAGGCAATTTCCTATCTTTCTTAATAAAGAAGTTCCTCTGGAGTGCTGTGTCCAACTTTGGGTTCCCATTGCAAAGAAGGTTTAGATGCACTGGAACATCCAGTGAAGGTGGTATCTGGGAGTAAGTGATAATAAGTGAGGAGGAGCTGAGACAACAAGGCTTGTTTGGCGTGGGGAAGGCAGAGAGGAGGGATCTTGGTGCTGTCTTCAGGTACTGGGGAGGCTTTAGAGAGGCCAGAGCAATTCTTGGAGGTGCATGGTGATAGGACAAAAGACAATGGGACCAAGCTTCAACAAGACAAATTCTGCTTAAATACCAGGAAAATGAAAGGGAAGAACCAGTTGATGTCATACGAGCATCTCTGTGGCTGGAGGTGTGGTTGTGGTGGGGCAATGTGCTGAGCAGCTGTCTTTAAGCTGACCTGGTGCTTGGCTGGTGATTGGACCAGGTATCTCAACAGGTTCCTTTGAATCTGTATTATTCTGTGATTTTTATTCAACTAAACCTGTCCCAACTGGGCTACACTGCTATAGCTTCAGTATAGACAGGCCCTGATGTGGGTGATTTCTGTTTATTTGGACAGTATGTGGTTGTATGCAAAGAATGTTTAACATGCCAGCTAGTAAAGACCAAACAGTGAAGTGCGGCAACGCGTCTGTTGATAATTGCTCTGTCTTAGCCACATGGGGATTTCGCTTTTACACTTATTTATGAAGGATACTGTTTTGTAAGACTATAGAGCAGGACAGTAATGGTTGTGGTAACTTCTATTGTGTTGGCCTGTGGTAACTGTGTACATCTAACTTCTGTACATCTGGCATAGATGATACATTAACTTAAATTTACATTAGTTAAAAAGCAAATAGTTGGTTCTCAAGTCTGGACTTCTCATTATATTTTTAGATTTTGAAGAATTTTACATCTGTTCATCTCTCCTATGTGGAATTGAAGCAAATGGGGCAGCAGCAGATTGGAAGTTACCCTGTTCACTTTCACCTTTGTGGGGATGTAGATGAAAAAGGAGGTTATAGTTTTAAGACTTACCTGGAAGGTCTTTCCATTCATCACTGTTTTTCCAGATGTGTGACTGTTCATGCAACTAATGGCTTGCTGGTAAGTGCAGGGAGAGTAAAACATACTGTATTGAAATAAATGTTATAAAGAGCATTTAGAGCAAAAATAGTCCCCTCCCTCCTTCAACTTTAATGCTCAGCAGTTGTGTTTTTTATTGCAATGAATAAATGAGCAAGTGTGAACAGTAACTTATATTTAACAGATCTCACCATTCTGGTTTTTCAAATTCTTCCAGGCAGCTAAGCTCTCCAGACATAGTAGTATCTTTGTAAGGGATAAATAAAACTCTGCTTGAATCATCTGAGCTGCTGATACTGAAGCTTCACTCTGCATCTGTGCCAAGACAGTAAAACTAGATGGTAGTTGTCAAATAAATCTCGGTAAATGCTATTGCTACTGACATAATGAACTTGTATTTCTGCAGATAAAGGACACCATTGGCTATGACACACTAGGTCACTGTTTCTTCACAGAAGATGGCATTGAGCAGAGGAATACTTTGTTCCACAACCTTGGCCTAGTCACGAAACCAGGCACTCTTCTTCCTACAGATAGAAACAGCAGCATGTGTATTAGTATTAGGGATAAAGTGTATGGAAATTATGTCCCAGTGCCAGCCACAGACTGCATGTGAGTATTTCATGGTCAAAAAAGTAAAACCAAACCAGCTGCAGCAGTTAGACTGCTGATGATCTCTCGACAATATAGAGATAGGAACATTTTTATGTATAATTTAATGAATGCGCACACCTTAAATGTAGTTCACGTAGTAGTGGTATTTAAAAAAAAAAAAAAAAATTAGTGTTTAGTCTTTTATTTAAGAGAAAAAATAAGTTGTTTTGTAGGACGATTGTTGTTTCTTGCAATACTTTCAAGGCCGTATCTTTACTTCGGTATAAAAGTATGCGCGTTCTCAAGTTGTCACTGCTAGTTTTTCTGCATGCTACTAATCTCTTGTAGAAGCTTATTGAAAGAGTTTGTTACTGCACAGAGTATCTGAACAACATTAAGTAAAATACTGTGCATTGAACTAATAAAAGAAGCATTTTTGACTTCTAAATTTGGGGGGATTTGTAATTTATTTTTTTTATTTCGTATATGGTGACTTGAGAAAAAGCTGAATTGATGTCTGATGTGCTTGATACCAACAGGAGATATTTTTGTAAGAGCTAGAGCTTTTTCCATAATAACTTCTTTCTCAATAATATTTCAGGGCGGTTTCAACATTCTGGATTTCTCATCCCAACAATCATCTTATAAATAATGCAGCAGCAGGTTCACAGGTGAGACATACGGATGTAACTCAACACAAACTACTCATGCCACTATATTTGTAAAACATACAACATTTACACTGCCAAAAATACATACATTTTTCTTTGAATATGTTTGGCAGCATATTGGCATTAGAAGTGCAGGGTTTGTTGAGGTGTGCGTTTAAGAGATGCCAAAAAACTTTAATCCAGCTGGAACAGAGGAGACCTCTTCCTCTTTGTAGTTAATAGACCTGACAACAGTGTCAATATGTGTATGTAGAAATAAATCCTCTCCAAAGAACTAATGCATTTCATATTAAGGCTTCTGTATTTTCTGTAGGTTGTCATGAGTTTACTGTGTGACTGCTCTGAAAGACTTGTCTTCACAGCTGTAGTCATTGAAATAAAAAATTAGTAAAAAAAAAATCTTCATGTGTAAGAAACAGCTAAAACGGTTTTATTGTCAGTTGTTAGTCATTTGTTTCCCATCAGTGACTGCTGATATGTTTTTACTTGTTGTGAATTTTATATATATAGTGCAAATCTCCTGTCTCAGCTGCTTGGAAAGTAAAGCTGAACTACTCAGTACGTGTTGTGGAGGGGAGGCTGGACTCTGTTCTACTTCTGCGTTGGATGAGAGGCTGAGATGTGCATGGTTTTGAGTGGATTTTTCTGAAGAGATTAGTGGGAATGGAAAATGGGAAAGATTGTTGTTGTTGCAAAGGCTCCAGTGCTGCAAATAGAATATGAGTGTGTGTCAATGTGTTCTTGGGCACAGAATACATAATAAATTGTTATTAATAGGACAGGATTCAAAATACTTAACTGAGTTGAAATATCTAGAGTATAAAAATTCAGAAAATTTTGTAACTTTATTCTGCTTCTTGTGGGTCTGGCTCTTTTTTTTGAACAAACTTTTCTAGTTTACTGTCTGTCACTGGGAAGGATCTGGACACACTTAGTAAATCAAACCAATTCTTCTCTTCCCAATGCAATATCTTTCCATTTTTGCCTGCTTTACCTAATGTTCCTTTACTTTCTTTTAGCATTGCAGGCTAAGTTAAAGGAAACAGCTTCCTTGATTGGGTGCTTAAAACCTGCAAGGTCTTTTTCTGCCTCTGTAGTGTGTCCCAGAAAATGTCTTTTCTGTTTGTTACTAGAATCTGTGTGGTCAGAGCAAGCATTTGTGTATGTTACCAGGTTTTGCCACTCTGATGTGCCTCCCTTGCATGGATGTAAACACATTAATATAAAGGAACTGCAGCTTATTATGTTTCAGAAACAGAATACTTCAACTGCGTTGATACAAACTCTGCACTGTAGAGCTTTTGCTATTATAATCTATAACAATTCACAAGCAAATAAAATAATTCCGTTGTGCCCCTCCAGCTCCTTCATTATACAATGAAGCCTATTGTAAGGGTGTATCAGCAATAAATGTTTCTTTTGTTTGAGCTGTATATGGGGGGGGGACGGGGGGACGGACACGACTTTTTCATTTTTCTGAATGCTTGCAAGTGCTTAAGGAGCTTTTAAGTTTATTAAACTTTTTTTCCAAGCATCAGGATATGTTTTGGATAAAAATTATTTTGAGTCTGCCAACCACAGAACTGTATTTAATTATATGTGAAGTAAGACTTTGGTATTTTTATTAATGGAACATCCACATTTACTTTGGAATTGTTAATCATCAGAAATATCAAAGTCTGTCATCATTACGGATGGGAGTATGTTACCGAGAAGCAGAATTTCCAGAACTGTTTGGAAAATGAGTATATTCTTAGAGTGAAATACGTGAAATCTTTTAAGACTGAGTGAATTGGCTTTATCCACGTTTCTTGAAGAGGAGGATGATGACTGTGTTTTGTGAGATGGAACACTCAGTATGCAGTGTTTCTTTAGCTACTGTTTAACCCTTTAATGTGCCGTATGCAATGATTTCCTTATTTTATAAGGGCACAGAGCATGTGATCAGGCAAAATTTTTCATGTTTGTAGGTATCTGCTGTGCAGGTGCTGTCATGATGCCATCTCTTGTGAACCCAGATGTGATGGAAAGGGGAACTTTTGTGGGTCACATTTACAGATAAATCCAGCTTCTTTAAGAGCAGGGATGTTGAAGAAGTGGAGAAAATGAACAGATGCTGAAATTATTACTGCATGTTATTGGCACAGTGCTCTGAACTGGCCAGACTTCTTGGTGTGCTTTTTTCCTTTCTTCTGAAAGCTCTTGTGGGTTTTTTGGCTGTGTCATTAAATTCTGATGTGAGCAGAGATGAACAAACCTTAGTCAGAGTGTAACAGTAAGGAGGAGAGGTGAGGTTTTGAGTATTTTACTGTAAATGGTATGATTTACTAGTAAAGGAAAATGAAGTGTCTGTGATGAAATATAACTGAAATACAAAAATTGCATTAATTCTGTCACTTTTCTGGTTTGAAATATTAGAGGATCTTAAATGTGTGGTGTTATATAGCTTCACCAAGAAGGAAAACACTTTCTAGTGCATACTATTCACTAGAATACAGCCTTATTTGCAAACTTCTACTTTCTCACTGGCCAGTTGTTTGAAAAATATATTCCATTGTGCACAGTTGATTTGGGCTATGTTCTTACTCGCTTCCTTATGTAAAATATCCAATTTCAACTTAACATACGCTTATTTTGTGGTTGAATACATCAGCACTGATAGTAACATCAGACTCACTTATCTTATAAGTAATGTCATTCTGTCCTTACTTGCAGGATGCTGGAATATGGTATTTGTTTCACAGGGTTGCTACAGGAGATTCTCATAGTTTAGCTATTGAAACCAAGTCAGAGCTTACACCCCTAGGAATCTTCTATAACAACAGGGTTCATTCTAATTTTAAGGTAATGTATTATCTCATTGAAAAAAAAATTGAAGTTCTTTATTTGTAACTATTCTGTATTAGGACTAGTCTGTTTACATTTTAAGCTGGTTAGGTGATGGATTCGTGCTGTGTTTGAACTGCATGATTCTATCTAGGTGTTGCAGAATGGTGTATAATCAGCATGTGTGTAGTTGCTTCCCACATTTCGCATATTCACTGTGTTTAATATCCTTGTGAGACACAAACAACTAACATCAATTAATTCTTCTAATGAAATACATTTTCTCAGAAGTAGCATTTCAGATGCTGCTTTCTTACTGATGGCATTGCTTTCTACTCTGAAGAAAACTGATCCCTGAAGTATTGAAGTTTATTACAGTTGTGATTCATCTAATAGCTTCCTGGAATAGCTGTGACTTGTTTTCCTGAGTCTATAATGTACAGTAACTCAGGTGTTTGCACATGGTGGCACTGACTCTGACTAGAGTTTAAGCTTGGAGGTTGGCTTTAGGAGCCCAGCCATTGGCAACAGTTTTTTTGTTAGACGGTTCTCAGCCTAGATAAAGGCATTCAGTATTGTTTGATTAATGTGACTTTATTAGTATCTTTTCTACATTCAGATAAGTGAAGTTAAAATCCTTAAATTAATTATTTCATTGGGAACCTAGCTGCCTGTGTGTGTACATATATCTATCTATCTATATAAAAATGCAAAAAATGTAATGGCATTTACAAAGCCACACAACTTTAAATATTTATTTGTGTTCGAAGTTTACATAATAAAGTTCAGGATCACTGTTGGATATTTTTTACCAAGTGAAACTAATTTTACTTGACAGTTGGGTGTCTGGGATACCAAGAAATGATGCACTGTCTTATAGAAGTTATGTTAACAGTGTGTTTGGGACTGTGGGGCATTCATACTGGAATTAAAACATACTGAATACGAAAGTGTGTTGTAAGGAAAAAAGTATTTCAGCTATATGGCTTGTATTACCTTTAAACAAGGGTAGCAGTTTGTGTGCTAAAATTCTATGCTAAAAGAGCAAACTCCACTAGCAGTTCTGAGGATCTGTTCATGTAGGAGAACTCAATTGTGATCACAATTTGGATCAGAGGTGAAAGTAGCTGCAGGTATTTGTTTATGTAATTTATGTTAAGTAACACAAATACTTTCTTCTGCTTCTGTTTTCTCAACTAAATGATTTCATACTGGATTATTGAGTTTCAGATTGATGATTGCTTAGGTGAAAATCAGCTTCAGTGGTGAAGGTAGTTTTGTTTTAAAGTGAAATAAAAAGCATTTTTCACAGTGTTTTGGGGTTTGGGTTTGTTTTGTTTGTTTGTTTTTTCCTTTTGTGAGATTATTTTGAATTCACCGCAAGACTGGCTTCCAGATTTTCCAGAACAGCATCTGGAAATAAATGTAAAACCTTAGATAGTTAGATGTTGTGAAAGAAATCTGAAATGAACTTTAATGATTTTCCATTACTTTATTTTTTTAATCCCAGGTAATTATTTTCTTTTGCCCAAATTAGCATAGACAAATTCTGGTTTTCCCTTAGACAATATGTCAATTAAGGCCAAACTGAAAGATCTAGGACTTTCTAATACATGTATTGAATGCATTGTGAAGTTTAAATTTTAGAAGTTTAATGTTTACTCTGTCTCTAGTTTTGGTTATTATGAATTTTCTTTCCTTGCTTGTTTCAGGCTGGTTTGTTCATTGATAAGGGTGTTAAAACAACTAATGCTAGCGTTGATGATCCCAGAGAATATCTTTGTTTGGACAACAATGCAAGGTAAAGGATATTGTATTTTAAGTGAGTGAAGAATGGCAAAGTTCTGAGATTGCTTTTAGATTTAGGTGAGGAAAACGTTTTTAAAACAATACAATTGTTTATAAATAATAACTGAACAGTAAGTTCATATATATTCTTTTCCCTTGTTTGCTCATATGTTTTAAGAAAAACAGAGTGGTGTGCCTTAAAGGAGTTGGCTGTTTCTTCTCAGCTCTTGCTCAGAGTAATTTTCAGCATCTTAGAAGACATCATTTGAAACATGCTCTGCTGTCATGCTTAAAGTATTTTCTGGAATTGCTGCTAAGAGCAAAGTCTTAATTTAAAATCTGCTCTTCTGATTTATGACCTGGTTTTAAATAATTGTTAGAAAATGGCTTAATAGAGCTGAGTAATACATCCACTTGCCTTTCCTACTGCTAAATGCTGCCTGCCATACTTTCTAGACTTGGAGACCATCATAGCTCAGTGATACACTTTTACTGAAGGCTATTTGCAGAGGTAGTACAATCAATGACATTTTCTTTGGTTTACAAAGTAAGAGAAAGTAATGGAGAGTCTAAGAAGATTCCAGGTTCTGCTGTGCCTGGTTAATTTTGTCCTGAACGTCAAATAAAATCACCTGGGATAGTGGTGAAATGGCAACATTGGGTAACTGTATCTGTCAACATAATAAGCATTAAGGCTGAAAATATAGTTCATAAGATTATTTCTGATTGACATGTATTTAGGATGAGGATAGTTAAGTGATAGTTACAGATACAGAGAGGAAAGTTTCCAGCTTTGGTGAAACTCAGTACTTCATGTTTTGGAAATGAACTTGCTGGTTCGAAGTTTTGACAGAAAACCCATATAACCCGTGTCGATTACTTCAGTCATAACAGGTAGCCAGGAGGAACATATGAGGGGCAAAATACCCTATGAGAATTTGTAGTGTGTTGACAGGGCATCAACAGAGGATGTGAGAAATTCAGTGCGTGAGATGGGGTTCATGTTTCACAGCAGCCAAAGAAGTAACAAGACACTCTGTAACTACATGAGGCCACTAATCGTTGTACATGGAACCAAAGTGGAGGGATTTAAATGTTAATTCAGGAGCGTGAGACTGTCAAACCCAAACATTCACCTGTTCTTCCCTTCCTCCCCTGGGGAGTGGGGGAGGACAGATCAAAAGTAGAGTACAAGCTAATCGGGATAAGGGGCATGTATATGTATAATGTATCTTTACCTGTTCAAAATGCATTTTTGTAATATTTTTTTAATGTATTACTCTTTCTCTGTGACCTTAGGGATAATCAAGTGAAAGCTTCTACCAGTCTCTAAGCAGGATGTTTCTTCCTGTTGTCTAAAACAGATTCCAGCCATAACTTACCGTACAAGACCATCTTGGTAGCAATGTGGAGAGTCTGGGTTGGAATAGAAAAGTATCTCAAGTGTGCTCAAAGAAGGGACACTCCTTAACGTCAGAAGAGTTTGAAAGATTTGAAGGAGCAGTTAGACAAGCCTCCAGCCTTTTTTTGTGTAGTGCATGTCAGCCTTGTGTATCCTTCCAAGGATCTTTAATTTCCTCCATCAAACTTTGATATTAATGCTGCAGTACAAGTAGAGAGGGAGTTGTTTGAGGAGAGCAAAAAGAAGAAGCAAAGGGATAAAAGGAGGTGAGATGCAGCTAAAGAAACTCAGGGAGACTGAGCAATAGCCTGTGAGAGTTACTGAAAAAGAGAAGTTTTATGTTCCTTCTTCACTGCACTCCAAAGACCCTTTTCTAGAAATAGAGAGCTAGAGATGCATCTGGTTTTGGCTTCTGTCATTTCAACCATGAAAGCAGAGTGGATTTTGCCCATCAGATGAGCATGAGTGTTCATCTTCCAGGCTTTCTCAGTGCAACATATATGACGTGTAAAACAACCAGTATTCCTATATTGAGTGTTTGGGATTTTTATCTGTCCCAGGTTTCGACCTCATCAAGATGCAGACCCTGAAAAGCCCCGAGTTGCTGCGCTGATTGACAGATTAATCTCTTTCAAAAACAACGATCATGGGGCCTGGGTCAGGGGAGGGGATATCCTCATTCAAAACTCTGGGTAGGTATCTGGAAGCAAATGGCTGCATGTTGTTAAGAAGTTTCCCGTAAAGATTTGTTTATGAAAGTGCATTACAACAGGGTTATAAGAGAAGATTGATGCTTAACTGGAGGAACTTCTCAGTATCTGGAACTGCTTTCACACCATCCTGCTACTTTAAATGAAACAAGTTTATATGTGATTAGATGAGGACCTGCCTTAAATGGCAAAAAGAAACTATGTAGTAAAAAGAAGTCTAAAAGCTATTAGAGACAGTAAATTTGTACTGAGGTATCTATGGTTTCCCTGAAGATCTTATGTCCTACTTAAAATATATAGAAAATTGCTTGATTTTTTTTTTAGCAACAACATTATTATAAGAGTTAAGTGTGTGGTAGTTCTAAATTCCATTCATAGAAAAATTCAGGCTTTCTTCAGTGCATAGCAGGATATGCCCTTACAGTAGCTTATTGTAGGACAATCCAGAAGACATGACTGAAACTTTGAACTTTCTTCTAGGTTTGCGGACAATGGAATAGGTTTGACATTTGCTAGGTGAGTACTTTATGTTAATCACTTCTGATTTTTCTTGCCTGGCAGCTTAGAAAATGTATGTCTATCTATTAAAATTAATAGGTACACTTTCATAAGGCTATAGTTTCATTTTTGGTCCCAGTTCTATTTCCAGTGGTGCAGATGATGTTGTAAAGACTGTAAACTGACACAGCTGCCAAAGCTTGCACTTTAATTCAACCTGTGCTTGCTTAACACCACAATTTACTGCCCCTTCACCAGAAAGGTTATGTTTATCCAAGTATTTTTGGTATTTGTATGATTTCTTAAGCAGTTTTGATTTTCGTCCTGAAGAGTTGAAAGTGAGTAATGGAAAAGAGATGAGATGAGCATTTAGAGGGGGCAGAGTCTCTTTCTAATAAAAAAGAATCAGGTCACTTAGTATTGCTGCCATTTAGGTTATGATAAACTGGTTCTAGGATTGCAAAAGTGTGAGTGCAAAAGAAAGAGTGCCGCACTACAAATAGAAAACGTATTACTTGGCTCTCTGCTGGCGTTTCAAACAGCCTGTAATACTGTTAATGTTTAAAATGATTAAATTTGTTTTGTGTATTGTAAATGAAGTCTAGACGGCTCTGCTTTAGGAGTAAAAGTAGGGTTATGCCTCAGTGTGTTCGTCTGCTGGAGAGTCTTGGCTAAAAGCTTGTCTCTGATGTTGCTTTGATAGTGATGGGAGCTTCCCAAATGATGAAGGTGCCAGCCAGGAGGTATCTGAGTCGCTGTTCGTAGGTGAGAGCAAGAATTACGGCTTTCCAGGTGGACAAAATAAGTATGCAGGAACTGGAGGAATAGACCACAAGGCACGCACTCTGCCTAGAAATCGGTAAGTATGTTATGAGTGAGGGAGGTAGAAATGATAGAAGAAACATTCCCTGTATCAGATGTAAACACTCTTCTTGCTTGAGCTGTGAGAGATTAAGATTCTATTGAAGGTGATGCTCTGGTTTTCTTTTTAATACTTTGTGTGCAGCTGTGTCACTCTTGCCTTTTTGCTGAATTAGTTTCATCTGATACTACCACAGGTCGCTTTTCCGTAGTGGTTAAAGTTATCCTACTTTAGTGAAACCTTAGACTTAAACAGCATTTGGACCTGAAGAGAGAAAGAAAACACATTTGGGTAAAAGGATTTCAAGGGTCAGTTTAGGACTAGAGGCTATAGTTTGTCTGTGACAAATCCCAGTCTGTGACCATGATTCTTTTCTCTCTGGCTTGAGGTGATGCTTGTTTAACATACTGCCAAGTCCTACTCTTGCCACAAAATAGGAAAGAAGAGTGATGTAGGTCTGGGCCACCCTCTTCCCTGTTTTTCGCTGCTTAGCCATTTAGAGGGAAGAAGTTAATGTGGCAGTGATATATGAGGTATTCAGTCTAGCTGAGTAGAATCACCGAACAGTTGAGGTTGGAAGGGACCTCTGGAAATCATCTGGTCCAACTTCCCTGCTCAAGAAGGGCCACCTAGAGCTGGTTGTCCAGAACTGTTCAGGCAGCTTTAGAATATCTCCAAGGATGGAGACTCCCCAAACGACCTGGGTAACCTGTCCCAGTACTCAGTCAGCCTCACAGTGAAAAAGTTTCTCCTTATGTTCCAGAGGAACCTCCTGTTTTTCAGCTTGTGCCAATTGCCTCTGGTCTTGTCACTGGGCACCACTGGAAAGAACGTGGCTCTGTCTCCTTTGCACCCTCCCTTCAGAGATTCTTACACATTGATGAGATTGCTGCCTGAGCCTTCTCTGCTCCAGGCTGAACAGTCTGAGGTCTCCCAATGTTTCCTCCTATGGGAGATGCTAGAATCACTTAACTGTCTTTGTGACCCTTTGTTGGACTCTCTTCAGTAGCTCCATGTCTGTCTTGTACTGGGGACAAGTACTTTGGGTGTGTCTTCACCAGTGCTGAATAGATGGGAAGGGTCACCTGCCTGGATCTGTTGGCAATGCTTCTTCCAGTGCAGCTCCAAATACTGTTTGCCTCCCTGTGGCAAGGGTACATTGTTGGCTTGTGGTCAACTTGGTTTCCACCAGGGCCTATAGGTCCTTTTCACTGGCACATAGGGTTGTTCCTTCCTAAGTGCAGAACTTCTGCACTTCCCCATGTTCCCATCTGCCCATTTCTCTTGTCAAGGTCTGTCTGGATGACAGCATGGCCTTCTGGTGTATCAGCTGCTCCTCGCAGTTTTGTGCCTTCTGCAAACTTGCTGAGACTGTATTCAGCCCCATCATCCAGTTCACTGATGAAAATGTTGAAGATTGGACCCGCTATTGACCCTTGGGGTGCACCACTAGTTACTGGCCTCCAAGTTGACTTCATGCCACCACCCTCTGGGCCCAACCATTCAACTAGTTTTCAGTCCACCTCACTGTGCTCTCATTGAGCCCATGAGCTTCATGAGGATCTTATGGGACACAGTGTCAAACGCCTTACTGAAGTTTAGGTAGACCATGTCCACTGCTGTCCCCTCAGCTACCAGGCCATTCATTTCATCACGGAAGTTTATCACATTGGTCAAGCATGACTGCTCCTTGGTGAATCCATGGTGATTATTCCTGATTACTTTCTTGTCCTTCATGTGCCTTGAAATGGTTTCCAGGTTTAGCTGCTCTATCACCTTTCTGGGGATCAAGCTGAGGCTTACCAGCCTGCAGTTCGCTGAGTCTTCCTTCTTGAAGTTGGAAGTGATGTATGCTTTCTTCCAGTCTATGAGCAGTTCTCCCAGTTGCCATGATCCATCAAAGAGCATGTGGTATTATTCTCTTGCTATATTTCCCTTAGGGGGAAAGCGACACGTGTGCGAATGGACAGTGATAGCTCTTCTAACAGGAAAATTCAAAAGAATTGGGGATTTCTTGGCTCATTAGATAAGTGCAGAAACAAGATTTCCTTTACTAAGATCTAACCTGCAAGTCATTCTCTTAACGTTGCTTTTTTGATTCCTCTGAAAGGAAGGGTATTTATGAGACAGATTCAGGCTTATCATGGGTTTTGCTACAGGATGCTATAAATATTTGCTTGCATTAACAGGACATTTCCAATTAGAGGCTTTCAAATTTATGATGGACCTATTCACCTTACCAAATGCACATTCAAAAACTTTGTGCCAACTGCAGACAGATTTACCAGTGCGGTTGGATTCTTGATGAAAAATCCATGGCAGATGACACCAAAAAACAACATTTCTCTTGTGAAGTTTGGCCCGAATGTAAGTTTACTACAAGTTTTATTTTATTCGTGCAAGTGGCTTTCTTTTCTTCTTGCTGTATTTAAAATAAAATCCAAGTCATCTTTTCCATACATCCCGACTCCAGAGTTTCTGTCTTGGTTGGAAGTCACCCAAGATGTGTCCTTAGTCTCCCAAGCAAAAAATAATACCAAGGGAGATGTAAGATACATTGCAATAATGATCTCTTTCATGGCTAATGGTAAAGCTGAAAGGAGATTTTTGTAAGGATTTAGTATATCCTTAGTAATGAATTTTCAGTTGCAAATATTAACATTGTTTAGAAGCAACAGCTGGCCTGAGCCTAAAAATCAAAATATCGGTCTTGTAAGATTCCACTGTCTTTACTATAAGGTTTTTAATCAACTTTGTAGAATTTCTGTGTTTCTGCAGATGTGCAAGTGTTAGTCAATGCTTCGCCTGCGGGGGGG